AAGAAAGAAAGAAAGAAAGAAAGAAAGAAAGAAAGAAAGAAAGAAAGAAAGAGGCCTTTAAAGACCTCCCCAGCAAACCATCAAAGACAGCCAGTGGTACAGGGAGTGACAGGCTTGTAGAAGGCCAGGGAGGGTAAGAGGCATAGCTCAGCTGGGTCCTGAGCTACAGTCTGTCACAGTTTCAGAGTTGCTGGGATAAGGTTCAGCCATCCTGCTTTATATATACTCCATTCAGGCACAGATATTCTACTCCTACTGGCGACTGGGAGCATGGCTGTGATTAAGTGCCTTGCGTCCTAGAACTTATAATTCAAGAGAGGAGGCAGGCAACAAGAGAGGACACATCAAAGTCAAGATGAACCTCAAGAAGTTGGCCCGGACTGAGAAGTATGCATTCGGGTCAGTGGGTTTGGAGCTCACTCGATCGAAAATGGTTCAGGCATGGCATCGGTGTGGACATATTTTTATGAGTAATGAATTTTCATTAAGGATGAGCAGTTCCTACTTTGTTGGTCCACCAGTGGGCTAGTAGAGGATATTCCAGCAGGGCAGGAAAACTGTGTCTCCAGAAGACTTCCCCTAGAGCAGGAATTCAGTGGCAAGAACTATTAAGAACTATTGTGCTAATCAGCCATCGTCCAGTGCTGGCCAGAGAGAAGGGCTCACTGTCTTTACATCCTTTCTTCCTCCGTGAGCTAAGTGGTTTTGCCACAGGAACACGTTCACCCAATGCAGCCTTTGGTGCTGCTGATGCTCCTACACAGACTCTTTGCACCAATAAGTGGAACACTGTCAGATGTATCAGAGGAACACACGCCTCTCAGAAACTATCTTAACCAGAGGTTTTTGTTTTTTTTTTTTTTTTGAGTCTTTGGGAATTTCACATCATGAGTCCCAATCGCACTCATTTCCCAGTCCCTCCATATACATTCTTCACCCTTGCGGCACAACCACCAAGAAAATTAAAATATATATGTAAATTAAAACTAAACAAAACCCCACTTTGATCTGTCTTTCCCTCCTCTCCAGTACCTCTTCATTCTTCTTAGTGGCCTTGGGAGCTGTGGCGTGTCATGCGGTAGACCATTTGTCCAAACAGCTTCCCTTACAAATGTTCACTGTATTAAGCTATTGGCCTGGTTCAAGGTCTTTTGCTTCTAATACGCCATCAATACTGGATGGAACCTCACGGAAACTCCCCTTGAATATCCTGCTGTTGACCGAGTCATGGTTCTGCAGCTATCTATGGTTCTGTAGGACTGGACCCTTCACAGGCTCCAGCAAGTCATAGATGGGGTACATGTTGGGGTGGATCATATCAAAGCACTGGATGTGGACCTGTGTGAGAGCTGAGCTGGTCGGTCTGGACCTCCACTGGGACTGCTCCCGTAAGGCAAGGGGCAGAGCCAGCCTCCCATACCATTGGGATCAGCTCTCCCACACCTATGATGAAGACTTGGCCAGCTCTCCCATGAGGGGTGGAACCAGCTCTCCCATTGCAGTGGCCAGCAAATGTCAGGGCTAGATATCTCAGGGCCAGAAAAAGATGGGGCCAGCTCACCCTGACCCTGGAATTTCAACACATACATGTCTGGGCCATAGACATCAACGCTGACCCCAGTTACAGTAAGACCACATACCCAGATATGATCCTCGGCAGCAGCTTTGACCCAGATGTCACCATTGTCCTGGGTGGCAGCAAAGACCACTCAGATCAGTATGGCCCCTGTGGTAGTATGGCTCTCAGACACCCACATGGTCTCAGGTAGCAGCCCAGACTCTGGGTATCCTCACAGCCTTTGGTACTAGAAGCCATGGACATCAATACAGACCCTGGCTGTGGCAGGGCCGTGGCCTCTCAGATACTAATGGCCCTTTCTCATGCATCTCTTCGGAGCTTAACAAAGGTTTTTCTTCTTGCACAGTCTGAGTCCCAGGCCATGCTCAGAAAATCTGCCTAGAGCAGCCTGCAACCCCGCCATGCAGCCTTCCCAGTGTCTGAGACTGACACAGAGTAGCCTGTCTGGAGTGGGACGTCCCGAGCTCCAGTTCAGCTCAGCCACTTCCCCGCTGTGCCACCTTGCACCTTGGTCATGACATTTAGCTCTACTTGGCTTTAACATGGGGATCTGGCTTCTTCTTTACAGCAGCTGTCTTATTTATCACTGTATACAGGGTGCTTACCCTGTCATGATTTGGGTGTTTGTTGCCAACAGAGCCAGCCGTTGACTGAGTTTGCAGCTCTCCGTGGAAGATGAGGGACGGAAAGCATGGACTCTGGTTTCAGAATAGCCTGGAAGTCCCCAGCCTGTAGCAACTATCCCATAAGCACTTCGATAAAGCAGATGGCAGACAAACACATGCTTGGGTTTATTAAACTGCAGAGTCGCCCCCGGGTGGGAGGCTGCCAAACCCAGGCATAATGCTGGATCTCAACATGCCACCAAATGTCTGCTTCTGAGCCTTGGCCCTGGGGTGCTTCTGCCCTGGTGACCCCACACTTGAGGTGCCCTCACTGTCCCCTTCATCCTGGCGCCTGGTACTCTTCTTGCCTCCCCTTTTATGCCAATACATTACATATTGGCATGGGACATAACCCTCTTGGACCCAGTAGCTGTACATTGTGTGCAGAATTAATGAAAGGCTGCCTAGAGGGAAGAACCGCTCAATGAGAGTGGAATAGATAACCCAGGGCCGGGAAGGTGGCTCACTGAATAAAGGAGCTTGCTGCTAAGCCTGACGCCATCGGTTTCATCCCCAGAACTCACGTGGTCAGCAAAAAGAACTGATGACTGCAAGTTGTCCTCTGACTTTCACCCTTCCACATACATGCTATGGCATGCTTGCTTATGCATGTGTGGGACACACACACACACACGCACACGCACACACACACACACACACACACACATATACACATAAATAAATACAAATCAGTCATTTTTATAAAATAAGCACTCAATATGCTCATCACTTGCACTTGCCTGTTAAACCTCACACCCACAGCTGTGTGACAGACACAGGCATGTTTCCATATCAAACATGTGTGGTGCTTTCAGGTGCTGTGATTGATGTCACGTCTGTAGTTTCTCATTTTATTTTTAAGTTGTCCCAGATACCTGGGAAGCCTCGATGGACAGGATCTGGATCCCCGGTGAAGTGATCTGCCCCCACTTGATCTGCTTGCTTTGTGTGATTTGTGCAAGACATCAGGAATGCCCCCTCTTTACTCTTCTTTTTGCCTAAAATAGCCTTTTCCCCTTGGTGCACTGTTGGGCTGTCTCTGTCCATCCCTCCTGAGAAAGCACTCCTTTTTGAGTGCACATGTACCACACATGTACATGAACACACGCACACACACACATTGCCATTCTAGGTGATGCCTTGTTGTATTCAGGACAAGGTCAGCTGCATTGTCCTACCATTCACTTGGCCTCTGCAAAGCCCCTAATACTGCTATGCCCCCACTGTAGTCTGGTCCCCCCAGAGGGGTGCTCTGCATCTACTCCAGAACAAAGCTCTCA